TCCCTCTCTCGCATATTTATATTTATAATGAGAAAGAAACACAAAAGAATTCTTCCAACCAAGAACTCAATTTGAATGTCGCAACTGATAAGGCCTGAATATATCTTTTAGTTGAAAGCTATAAATAGCTGCATATTTAGTATGATTATAATATTATTATTATGATTATAATGTGTTTCGCATTCAAGTGGGGCTTACGAGCAATGTACTTGTGTATATAGATGGGGAGTGCACAGCAATTGTTTATGAAAGACCCTCAGAATAGGATGACAATGAAGAGGCCCGCATTCAATTTAAGACGTAATATGAGGCAAATCTTTGTACTAAATACTATTTTGCTTATTTACCAGAGATGGGGGATTGGAACCTTGAGGCAAAACAAAAGTTTTGAGCATATAACAACAAGCTGACAAACGCTTCATGGTACGTTGATTTTCACAAGGGGTTTGGGCCAAACTCAAGAGCCAAGTGTTGATGCGTTGACCGTTGCCCAAAAAACTGGTCTAACGCGGATCCCCTGAATCCCCCCCCCCCCCCCCCCCCCCCCCCCCCTTTCAAATACAACATAATAAATGTACAATTGGGTTTTTTTTTTCTAATCTGCGCTGCGGTAATTAAAGAAAGCGCTTTTAAGTGCTTTCTGTGGTTCACATTTGTTATTAAATTATAACAATTGAGCCAGAGACTGACAAAATGTGGGCTGATTCAATGCGGTGGGCGTGGCCAGCCTTGTGATCGCCTCCATGAGCTAGCTTGGCCAGCTTGGCTTTCGGCTTTAACCATCATAAAGAATAATCATAAAATAATCGACATATCAATATCAATTAGCAATCAATTTGTTACGCTTTACGCTTTCAATTTTTGCTAGCCCGAAGCTCAGATAACAAAAAAAAAACACTTCTACAAAATTCATTTGGCGGCGCATACGTAAATTTCAAGGCGGCATCTTCTGTTGAGGGGGGGCGCTTCTCTTCTTTTTGCTGGAGCCTGTCTGCTTTGTGGCTTGATATGTGTGAGAAGTCGGCTAATCACGCCAGCGACTTTTCGGCTAATTTGAATATTCCCCAGCTGCAAATATTTATGTATTCAATATTTCGTGGGGCCAAAAAAGAAACGTGTCTGCCAAAGCAGCTGGGAAACAAGAGGTATCTATTAGTAATCAGCGAGAACAAGTAATAAGTAGCTGCCGTCATTTGATAGCTTTTACAAATTATTTATTGTAAATTCTTGACCCCAGTGTGAATAGTAGAGTCCCCCCTCCCCTCCCACTCCCCGCCAAGAGTTAACTTTGGGCTTAATTTGCAGCATCACCTTTGTTAATTGGCTGAAGTTAAATCGTATTTGACTGCTTGATGCTGCCAGGCGAGGGCCTACTCACGTTTTCCAGTCAGAAATTGACTAAATAATAATGCAGCAGCAGCTTGCCTTCTAGAGTGTGGCAAAACAGAGAAGCCAAAGCCAAAAAGCCTCAAGAGACGCGGCCCGCTTCGAATTGTCAACAATGTTAAGGGCAAACCTCGGTAAGAGAATTTGTCAACAAATAAGCATTACCTGTATTTGCCTTAACTTGTATTTACAAAGCCAATTAATGCTGTCAGTTGACAAAAGAATTCATTGTTTAACAAACAAATAGGCAAAGAATGAAGTAATTGGCCAGCACTTGCGTCTCTAGAGCTAAGATCTGAAAAGTAAAAGTGCAAAGTTGTGGCATTCGAATTCACATTAAAATCTCAGCTCAGACTTAAACTGCAATATCCGCAAATCGTATGGGAATGCATATGGAGTAGCTTGCCAAACTCGTTCATCGAGTTTTTCCTTGCAGATCTCTTGCAACCGGAGACAGAAAAAAACACAAAAAAAAAAGCAAAAAAATAATTACTAAACTTCGAGGAAGTTTTGCGCAATTCGGTTCCATGACAAGTTTATTGCACGGATCGCATAAAAACCTAAAGTTTGTCAGCATTTTTGGGCCGGGGCTTGGTTTTACGAACTACGTGACGAGCTCCATTGAGTTCCAAAGAGCTAGGGAGAGGCGTGACCTAAAATTTCGGGGCATCGTGATCGTCAGTTGTGGGAGCTGGGAGCTGGTAGCTGGGATTGGGGCTGGGTCTGGTAGCTGGCGGCAGGGGCAGATACATTCCGGCGATCCAATTTGTTTGTGTTGAACATGTTTATTGGCAACTGCGAGTTTTGTTTACCTAATTTATGGCCAGCTATTTATTTACGTATTGCACTCTTTGGCCAGCTGCACAAGTCCAGCGAACAATTTGTTTACTTTTCATATTAAAAATGTAGCACAGCCAAGCGCCAGGAGTCTATAAAAGCGAAAAATTCCACGAAACCCATAAACTATTTCGTAAAGCTCTCGAAATTTGCTTATCCAATTTGATAAGTGAGTGCCCCAATGATACTCTGTAAAGGGCTTCTCGCTTTCTCTCTCTCTCTTGGAGACACGCTTCTCTCTTTCTCTCAGAGCCACGCTATGGAAAATGTATTCTCAAGTAACTCTGATAATTTTTATCAGATCGTTTTCATATTTTCACGTCTTAACGATGAGACCTAATTGTGCGTTTATCCCAAAAATTCTGGCTATATCTCTTCTCAGAGCCACGCTATGGAAAATGTATTCTCAAGTAACTCTGGTGATTTTTGTCCGATCGTTTTCACATTTTCAGCTCTTAAAGAAGAGACTTCATTGTGCGTATATACCAAAAATTCCAGCGTTGCCTAGACGGGGAATACATGGATACACTTTATGCCTGCCTCTGCCTTCACTTGCAGCACGTCATTGTCATGGCTAGAGGGTATAATAAACACATTGGCCAAGTAATACAGTTATGTTTTTTTTTATCTTGTCTTTAAGCATCTCCGAAATTGTCATCATAAAAAAACGTCATAATTAAGATGGATGTGGCTGGCTCGGGGGCTGAGCATGACTTCATGCTGAACTGACTCTCGTTGGCATCCGCCAAATTTCATTTGAGCACAAGAAAAAAGCACAAATGTTTACATGTGGAAACACAATACGCACTCGCACACACACGCACACACATATCCGACTAAAGTGGATATATACAGTGCTTATATACCCGATGTGCACTCCATAAACAATTGGCTGGCCTACATGAAGAGCAATAACAAAAACCCATGTCCGATTACAATAACAAAAGAGCAGGCAAGGGGTGAGTGGCAGCTGTTGGGGCGGGGAGGGGGGGTGTAGCTATATATGTGTGGGCTGGTTAAAGTAGAAGCGAGTGAGGGCCCCATTTCAATAATTTAAAAGTTAATTAAATTAAGCACACGCCCGCTGGAAAATCTAGCGAGAATCTCGATGTGTTAGGCAAATTGCCAATTAATTAAACGAAGTCTCGGTTATATATGTATATATATGTGGCATACGAATAGCTAGCAATTGGTGAGGCTATCAATAGGCTATGCCAACAACCCCCTCTACAAACTACGCCTTTGTGTGCTTGCAAAAAACAAAAAAATGATATAAACAAAACTAATCGGGGCGGAGCCAATGCGAAAGACAAATGCAAATGAGCCGGCGGCAGGCAGAGCGTCAAGCTAAGGTATTTGAAGGGGGGCAGAGGGGGGTTAGGGGAAACAAGTAATGCCTAAAGCACCTATTATTTAATTGTAATGTCCGAAAGCTAATAGAGCAATAAACATATGCAAATAGGGTCTCAAATTGATGTGCTCATAATTGAGCCTAACGGAAATGCGTTGTGCGCGCCATAAGAACATGCAAATGGTAGGAACACAGTTCAAACCCATATATAGAAAAACTAATATATCTGTATATATATATATATATATATATATATGTAGCTGCAGGTGGTGCATAGATATTCTGGAACTCTTTGTTGATTCGCCTTAAAAGGCAGCAACAAGTGTTTCTTTTTGCTGCCCACGAATCAAGCCAAATTTTTGGAGAAAAACTCTTGATGAGGTCACAGTTTTTATATAAAATGCAACAAAAAAAAAAAAATAGCATTTGAATCATTTGTCATTAAATTGTTGTTAATTATTTGCAAACGTCAGTTAAAACAAAGCAGGAGTTTTTTTTGTGGGCGCCCATTTCTGCAGTTTTTTCAACCTTGAGGTTAAGATGTGTTTGAAAACGTGTTTCTGAACTTTTTTTTAACCCGCCTCCATATGTTTGTTGTTGTGTGGGTCGTAAGTGCTTAACTGTGCACGCTGCGGTTTGCTCATTTTTTTTTATTATTATATATCTGCATTACAGATTCTGCATGATTCACTTTGGGTTAACTGTCATTTTATTGAAATCTCTCCGCGCCAAGACTCATCGATATTGTTTGTTAAGATAAATCATTTGATTTGCATATTGTGATTCATGTGTGTTGGAATTACACGCGAAAGATTTTTCGAATATTTTGTAATTAGTCAGTTTTTGAAATCCACTTAAGGCACACGCACAACAAAATGGCGAGCCACATTTTTCGCTCTAACACACTCACTAAATGTTTCCGCGCCAGACAACTGCAGTCCGAAGTATCCAAAGACCAACTGATCAGACAGTGGCAAGTCGCCAGTCCCCAACAGCCCCAGTTGGGCCCCAAAATCAAGCTCTGACTTTCATTGAAATAAGCCCAAGGCAGGCAAAAGTATGCTTTAGCCAGAGTCATGGAGGCATATTTAATGCCAGCTCCTCAGACTCGGCAGTAAAATGCTCAAAACTGAACTATATATTCCCGTTAAATTCTACATTTTGACAAAAATGAGCAGTTACATGACAGAATATCACATATTTGAAGAATCGGAATCTCATCTTGTTGGAGAATTTGCAATGAGACCTATTTTCTGCCTACATTTGAATACCAAAAGCTCGCAGCTCGAAAGTATGCTGTAGAAATTTAAATTTTGCATATTAGTCTTAGCGTCAACTGCATTGGCTTGCAGCATAAAAGTATGCAATAATATTTGTAATTACTATAACTATGGACGCAGCACGCAGAAGTATGCTATGTTTTTCTGACGAATGTGTTTAAGATATATGTGAACAATTTACAAATCTCACTATATATGCAGACTATATTATATATTTAAAGTAAAAATCAGGGCGTCGGACCCCAAGAGATGACTTCCAGTGCAATATCTTTCAGACTCTGTGCATCAATCTCATGGCTGGCCAGTGTCTTAATAATGTTGAGCACATTCTGTGATTTCTGTAATGACAATGATGTGTAAATATAGGGTATCATGCAGCATGCTCTAGTTACCATTGTCTTGTCCAAGAGAGTTTTGAACTCATCGCTGCGTATGGCCTCGTAGAATTGGGGAAAAACTTTGCCTTCTTTACGTTTCTCATTGATCAGCGCAATGAAGCGATCCCGCGGCAGATGGGTCAACAGCTCCTGGGCGAAGCTGACAAAGCTGCCGAATGTGGGCGGAGGCACAACCTCGTGTCCAGTCGGGGGTATCAGCACCACAAGCACGCTCTCCTGCTCATCAATAGCATTACCATCTGTCAACTGATAGCCATAGCTTTTGTATGCGCTGGCTATCAGCTGCTGCCTGAGCCGCGCGTCGATGCGAATTCTGGATGCGATGTTTGTGTCATTCAGATGCGCAAAATTTATAACCTCAATTATCTCGGGCAGCGACTCGGCGCGTTGCTGCAGCTGCTTAAAGTCCGAGCTGCGTAGAAATTTGATGGCCTTACGAAATCCGGAATCAACAACCATATGCTCCGCGATCAGCTCGTCGATGGTGATGCTCGGTATCAGATCGATAAATTCGCGCAGATCTTGCAACAGCTCCGGCGAATACGTCACCCGGGCAGCTTGCAACCTGGCTGGCCACCAATGCCTGCTGCTGGAGCTGGAGGTGCTGCTGTAGATGCCACTTGCCAGAAGCAGGCAACAAATTGTGAGCAAATATCTGGACATTCTTGCTGGAACTGTTCAAGCGTACTCGCACGCTTCTCGCGGCTAACTGGCGACTCAGTTGAAAAGAAATTATGCTCAGCGCGCGATACTTACAGACACACACTCACATACATATGTATACTTATATTGAATTGCAATACATACTTATGTCTCTACTGTATGAGTTACGTACATATGAACTTGCGGTGCTTACGTCTTTTGCTATCAATTTGCATTTGCGTCGCGCCCGAGAGAGAACGCCGGCCAGACGCCTCTTTGTGTAGGGAGCGTTCTGAGAGATTAACTCTGAGAGAAATGAGAGGGCAAACATTTGTTATGTGACGTTATGTCCATATGTATTACGTCGCTTGCTATCAGCTTGCATTCGAGTAGTGCCTGAGAGAGAATGCCGTTATGAGAGATCGGCAATTACGAGAGAATATGCGCACACAAATTTCCGACATTGTGACGTCACAATGGTTAAGAAATGGCTCTGACAGTCTTGCACTAAGCTTATGGCCATTGTTAAAAGTAATATACAACCGGGAAACCTATATGAGCCAGAGACTTGAAATTTGGAAAATAGATCCGGCTAGTACCCGTACGTACGATTATCGATATAGCGACCCGTTTCCAAGCAATCGATAAGAAATAATATCGATTTGCTGAATTTTTGAGGTTATAAGAGCTAGAGTCATTGCAGTCATGTTAAGCGAGCGCTTAGTGGAAAGGTTCACGGTATCTCCTAGTCGGGCACTCCCGACTAGAGCACGCTTGTAAGTTATTTGAATCTGCCACTGATCAACTACAAACTTTGATCACTGTTTCCCCCACTTGCGGGTCCGTATTAATGCTCACTTTCGAACCAAAAGAAGGCTTCAGGAAATATTGTTGCCTTGTAGCTCGTACGATTTGGGCAGTATAAACTATTCCATATATACATATATATATATATCGAAGTACGTAAATCTCTATATATAAAACTGTGTGTTCTGACTGACTTATAGATTATATTATATTATTTTAATATATATTATATTTCGCCTGCAGTTTTTAGGCTTCCAACTGGATGTTTCTGTTAATTTATCAACAAGGTCTGAATGTTAGTTCTAATTGAAAGGGATCTTATATTTCTCCCATGATGTATCTTTCTCAGTATTTTTTTTTTTCTGAAAATATATACATTTTATATTAATAAATTGAATAAACTTAAGGTAAACTTATATATATACCTATATTGTTTATTACAAAAAGATTGCACAATTCCGTGCCCTCGCCGTCTTTTAGAAACGACATATCTCCGCCGTTGATTATGTCGTTTTGAAACGATTTTTATGGGCGGCCTAAAAGTATGCAGTAGAAGAGCTACTCTAATAGGATCCGCGGTTGATCATGGCGAAATTATGTCGTTTTGAAACGACATATCTCCAGGCGGACGTATGATTTGTATTTTCCCGAGATATTTCAATTCGAAATTTTTTCGAAAACTTTAAATGGTCATATCTCAGCCAAATAAAGCCCGATTCAGCTCATATTGGGAGGGCTAACTCGCGGAGGTCTATAGAATCGAATGCCATCAAAGTTTCCGAAAAGTCAATTTTTGCGAAAAACGTGATGTAACCACTGCATTTTTTCTGATTTTGGGTCATCTCTTAGAATGCGGATTTTTGGATGGCAATCGATAGTCGGCATCCGTACGATTAGAAAGAGGTATATCATTCCGAAATCGGACTGTATTTTCCCGAGATATTTCAATTCGAAAATTGTTCGAAAACTTTTTTTTGTTAATTTATCTACAAGGTCTTGATATTAGTTCTAATTGAAAGGGATCGAATATTTCTCCCATGATCTATCTTTCTCAGTATTTCTTATTTCTTCTGAAAATATTTACATTATTTATTAATAAATTGAATTAACTTAAGGTAAACTTATATATATACCTATATTGTTTATATTGATACTAACATAAAAATTGCACATTTCCGGCCCAAAGACTGATAATATTTATCACAATTCGCATCCGATAGCTAGCTGATAAGATGTAGTCTGGACATCTATATATAGACGTATATATATAGATTTTAAACTACAAACTTGTTTAGTTAAATATAGAGTATTGTTTGTTTGGGAGGGGAGAGGAACCAGCTTTGACGTGCCACCTCTTAAGGTAAGCTATTGCGATATCAGTTGCAGCTCCTCCATCTTATATTGTATATTATGTATATGTATATAAGGGGCATATATGTTAATGTTTCTTAGAGCTAGGTATAAAAATTGCACCTTATGGTTTGGCAAGAATCGTATTGTATTATTGCACCTGTTGGCTGGCTTGGCCAAGTGGAAGTCTTTCGTCTGGTTTAGATATTGCACATCCCTAAAATACTAAGCTAACTTTTGCGAATCATCTTGTAGAGCACCGAGTGCGTTTCGATGCTCTCCGCGCCCGATTCGCACATGTCCTCGGCATTGGTCTCCTCATCCGATGAGCCGCAGCAGGTGCTGTGCCCGCGCCGCTGCTCATCCTCCGAGGAATAGGATGACATCGTGGTGCTGCTGCTGCCGCCGCCGCCGCGTGCCACATTCGATTGGGAGCGCGTAAGCGTTTTGTCCGACTCGGCATCGCTTAAGTCCTCGCTGGCATTGGGCGCCGCCGCCGCTACTCTGCTGCCGGGCGAGACCATGTGCTCGAGATCCTCAAAGCGGCCTGGACTGGTGCTCTCTTCTTCGTTATCTTCGATGGTGTCGACACGTATGATCTGGCCGCCGCCGCCGCCGCGTCCGCTCAACATTTTGAAGTTGTAGCGATCGTAGACATTGCGCTTGTACAGCTCCGTGGAGTCGGTGCTCATGTAGCCGCTGTCCAGCTGTCCAAAGCGCTGCTCGTAGTAGTTCTGGCTTCCCACCTGTCCCGTCGCCGAGCCCGGCTGTGCCGCAACCGCTGCCGCCGCCGCCGCCTCCTCAATGATGGAGGCAATGCCATCGTCGCGCTCGAGCGCCTCCAGAAAGCCACCCGTCGAGCTCTTGGTGCCATAGCTGGGCGCCGGACTCTGGCTGGGGCTGAATTTGTTGGCTGCCATGTGGACAAATTTGCGCCACGCATTCTTCAGATCCTTGGCCTTCTTGGCGCGATCCTTTAGCCCGATGGCTATCTGCATGCCAGCCGTCAGCTGTGCCGGCTCAATCTCACAGCGATAAACGGTCTGGACATTGACACTCACGTTCGCATTGGAGCTGGGATTGTTGCTGCTGCTGCTGCTGTTGGTAGCGCGTTGTGGATAGGCGATGCCCACGGGAACGCCCGCATTCCGATAGAGCTCCTTGGTGCGCTCCGAGAGATGGCTGCTGCTGCGGTTCGAACGTGAGCTAATCGACAGCGCATCAAACTGATTCAGATCCACATCCTTAAGATTCTTCGAATTGTTGTTGTTGTTAATGTTGTTGCTGGACTCTAGGTCCGCTGCATCCTTGAGCTCGTGCTCATTCTCATGCTCATTCTCGTCTCGCTTATCCTTCTGGGACTTGCGCCGATTTAGATACTTGTTGAGGCTGTAATCATTGCGCAAGCTATTCATCTTTTTGCCGTAGATACCGTCGTAGTCCATGTCCAGCTGCGCCTTCTGCTCCAAACCCTTTGGGGGCTTGGGCTCCGTCATGGCCGAAATGACGCTGGACATGGTATTGTTGCATGAATTCTCAAACTCCGAGTTGGCCAGGGTATCCGAGACGCCGGTCAGCTCGGTTATCTCGCTGTGCAGGCTGTAGGCATCCTCCTCCTGCCGCTCGCTGTGGCAGCAGCTCGGGCCAGCTTCGGGCGGCGGCGCCGGCGGCAGCGGACGTTTGTTATGCAGCAGCGGGGCGCAATAATGTTGATTCAGCTTGGGGCGTGACGGCGATTGCGGCTGGGCCGACGGCTGTTTCTCTGCAGGCTTGGGCGAGGATATGGTTATGGTAGTCCTGTCTCTGGCCACATCCACCACGGAGAGCGTGGGCGAGCCTTGCAGGCCGCGCTGACGGCGAGAATGCTTTGCCTCTAGCGTCAGGATGCGGCCCTGCTCCTCGCGCTGCTGGACCTCACTCCTGAAGTGCTCCTGGACGGCCAGCGGCGATTCGTAAATCTCGCGCAGATTGCGGAACGAGTTGCTGGAGCGCAGAATAAAGGAGGCAGTGCGTGGCTTACCATTGGCCAGCTGGCTGCTGTCCGGCGTGCCGATCTGGCGGCTGAGATCGGGTAGCGAGTTGATCTGATTGTAGTCCTCGGTGCTGCTCTGGCGTCCGTGTTTGTCCCAGGCATTGATGTCACAGAAGCTCTGCTTCTTGGGCTTGCGATCCAGGGTGTCCGGCTCGAACTGATCGCTATCGGTGCGCTCCATGTCGGAGGGCGGTTCGTGCTCCACCTCAATGGTCATGCTGCCGCGAAAGGGCGTGTCGTATTTGATGCGTGCCGCGGCCTCCTTGTGCCGCTGCGCCTGGCTCTGCTGGCCATGTTTGCCGGCGAGCAGACGCTTCTTTAGGTCGCCCTCCTTGCGAAATCCATTGACCCGATCGTACACTGTGTGACTGATCTCCAGCTCCTCCTCCAGCGGCAGGGCCGTGCTCAGGCTGGGGCTCAGCTGTGAGCTGACATCGGACGAGGGCGAGCTGGAGGAATGCGAACTCTTGCGCTTACTCGGCTCCAGACGCTCCAAGCTGTCCGTCTCATAGTCCACGATCAGGTACTGTGGCGATTTGCGCCTGTAGATGGGCGAATCCGGCTGAAACTGTTTCAGAGACTTGCGACTCAGCGAGCTGTAGTCCGGCGTCGGGACCGATGGTATGCTGCTCTGGGTGCTGCTGTAGATCTCCTTGATCTTCTTCTCGATGGTGCTGTCGTAGTCCGGCGTGGGTATATGCGCTGCATACTCGCGCTTCAGCGAATCGTAGATGATCTCCGCGGGCTTCATGTTTCGCAGCATATTGTAATGCTGTCGATCGAACGAGTTCAACGACGTCGGCGTCGAGTTGGCCGCCGCGAACTGTTCGAGCACATCGCCGCGTTTCCTCAACGACTTGGATCGGCTCGAGGTGCTGCGCATCGAGCCGGCCGGCGAGTCGGCCAGCATGAACTTTGGATTGTTGTAGATCTCGCCCCCCGTCTCCGCAAAGCCATACACATTCGCGGACACGACAGCCGAGTAGGCCGTATAACTCTCATAGGTTGGCGTTTTGGGCTTGACGGGTTCTGGACTGGATTTGTTCAGCCTCTGCTGCTGTTCCTCCTCGTGGCAACGCATGCTGGAGCTGGACTCCGGCCTGGACTGCGGCTCAGTGCTTGACTTTTGCATTGGAGGCGGCGGCGGGCGTTCTTTGGGCGCGGTGATCTCCTTGCGCGCGGAGCCTTTGCTGGGTGAACCGTTGCTCTTTTTCTTCTGCTCGGCTGTCGGCTCCGAGTTGGGCACACTCTGCAGCCACTGCTCGATGCTGTTGCGCTTGTCGCCCAGACTCTTTGCCTGCAGATTCTGCTGCAGCGGCACATTGTATCTGGCCGAGCTGGTCGCACCGGAGTCCAGGCTGGCCTCCTCGTGGATAATGTTGAGCGATGGCTGGTAACGCTTGGCGGCCATTTTGTACTTGGCAATGGCAATCACCTCACGAATCTTTTGAAGAAACTCAATGGCAGCTTGTGGCGGCTCCTGCAAAGATTAGAGAGAGATTGGGCATCATTTAGTTGGACATGGATTTGCGCGGGCTTTCGACATACCGCCAGCAGATGTGGCTCAAAGTAGGCTGGATTAAAGTAGAGCTTCTTGCGGACATTGCCGTTGACCATGGCGCGCAGATTCTCCATTTTCTCCTCGCTCATCAGATCCTCAATGACGGCCACATTCTCCGTGGGCAGGCACTCGTTGTCCTGCCGAAAATCATCCGCCTCCAATGAGGAATTCTCCGCGCTGTGGCTGTGACCCGGTTTGGGTGACTTGTTGTTGTTGGCCATGTTCAGCTGTGGATGCACCAGAACCGAAACCGAGCTCTGCAGTAGAATCAAGTCGGGCTGTCTAGCCAAAGCTCATGGGTATATAATGAAGGACTCACCTTGATCTTCTCCTCCATCTCGCACTCGGAGTTCGAGTTCGAGATGTCGCTGGCAAAGCCAGAGTTGTGCTCCCGCTCGCCCAGCTGCGGAAAGTGCTGCAGCAGCGGATTGTTCTTCACAATGCCCAGGTCATCCTTGAGGCTGGCCATGCTGGCTCGCGTGCCCGCCTCGTTGCCGCTGCCGTGGCCCAGACCCATGCTGTTCGCCGAATAGACGCTGCCCACCCGGCTAAAGGGCGCACCATAGGTGACCTGGTCGTTCTTCGGATAGTTGATCTCATTGCCCAGATTGTCCAGCGAGTGACGCGAGTTATGGCGCCCGCGACTCTTGCGCTTCTTCATGTACAGATAGAGAAACACGGAGGCCACATAGATGAGGCCCAGCAGCAGGCTGCAGATGCCGATGACCACATACTCTCGCATGCTCATGCCATCCGAGGTGGAGGCCAGAGTCGTCGAGTTCGCTGGCTGAAAGAACACCTCCGGCACATCTATGGGCGAATTTAGATTAGACTTAAACTGGGCACAGTTAAAGAGCTTTAGAGACTACTTACTGTGTGTGTACTTGACAGGACTGCCATTGACCCGGAAGGCCACGCACGGCGAATGCACATTCTTGGGCGGCATCAGATGATCTGAAAGATAGAGTTCCAGATGGTAAGCCTCTCTTGATTAGTGTGTTTCTATCTTGAATCCTAATCTGTCCGTCCGCCCGTCTGTTGACGGCGCATTTCAAGTTTCTTTCAAATTATCGATCAATTACCCCATTGCCAAGCAATCGATAAAAATCGATGGTGAAATCTTATAGATATTGAGTTCCAGATGATCAGCTTCTTTTGATTAGGGTCTTTTTATCCGGAATCCTGATCTGTCCGTCTGTCCGTATGCATTTCAAGTTTCTTGTAAGTTATCGATTACTTGTCTCATTTCCAGGCAATCGATAAAAATTAGTTGTGAAATCTTATCAAGATAGATATGATAAGTCTCGTTTGATTAGTGTCTTTCTATCCGGATCCTGAACTGTCCGTCCGTCTATCTGTCCGTATATATTTTTTTGAGCTTATCTCTTAGATGCTTAGATGGCAGCACGTCGGTGAGTTCAGGGTATAAGCTAGTCGTGCAGTCTTCGTCTTATTTTGAGACTCACCTTTCAGGCTGGCATTGAGGGCCACAGTCATGTCGCGGCAGACAAGATGCACCACAATGAGGCGACCCTGCATCTTCTGGCGCAGCTCCGTCTCGCCCAGCCACTGCAGAAAGCTGCGACCCTCGTCGCGAAACATCCGAAATGGATAGTCCGTGTCAATGGGGTTACGCAGATCCGACCAGCCATTCGAGCCGAGGTACTGGGCGCCGGTAACCGCACACACAGGCGTGAGTATATCTACAGGTAAACGCATACATATATATGCTAATGAGTGGAAGGGGGAAGGTTTCAGCGGGGATTACTTACTGGGAAAACTGATTTCTCTGCTGGGGTAAATGATTTGGCCGCGCAGTGGCAAAAACACAAATGGAATTTTCTCCGACGATGAGCCGCTGACAAATGGTGAGAGAGAGCATTCTGCAAAAGCCGAAAAAAAATAATAGATAAATAAATGAGAAAGTCTCTCGCATCGTAATAATATCCATAATGTTTCTTTTGATTGCAGCTGTGATAACATCGATAACTATCGATCAGGCCAGACCCTTATCAAAATTGTCAACTCCCTTTTGTGTTGCCAAAAGTGTTTTTGTTTTCGAAAACACGCTTACACTTTCCGTCTTAATTGTGTCGCTTGGATTTTAATTGTTGTTGTTGTTTCTATTATTATGATTGTATTTGTAGCTGGCAGCGAAAGTTGGCTTAAAGCATTTTTTCCTTTCATAAAAGTGCTGGCAACTCGAATGATTTGTTCAATAATAGTACATTTTTGCCATACTTGCCGCGCGTCATAGCTACCGTTTGTTATGTTTTTATTATATATACCCTAACTTTGAGTTTTAATGCGCTTTGGCATACAGGAAGTGGAAATTGTGATGCAAGTAAAGAGCAAGATCAAGAGCTAAGCTTATGCTCTTCGAACTATCAATGTCGTCTTGACACTTTTCTAGACACACATTTAAGTCGCCAGTTGGTATTACTTTTGAAATTCATTGGGCTTAAGCTTGGCCCGAACGTCTTCATATGTCATATGTTGATAATATTTTTTTTAAAGAGGTTGCTGGTTCGAATCCCTTGCTAGTGTATAAAGGTAGTATTACCTTAACTAATGCAAATAGTTTGAAACTATTATAGTCATAATAATAATAATAATAATAATAATAATAATAATAATAACAATAATAATAATTATATTAATAACAATAATGATGATAATAATAATTATAATTGTAATAATAATAAAATTTTTACAACTTTTTGTCAATGTTTAAATGAGACTCGACTTCTAATTCAGAACACATTTTTTGTTTGAATCGAATGTCAATTGTAGAGCATTTGGGTTTCGACAAGCTTTCGTTAGGGCTTCGCTTGTCTGTTTGTCGCTTTATTTGCGTCACGTTTCGTTTTCATTCTGCAATTTGAGCGCCAGCCCTGCACAATTTTGTTATTATTACAGCATTTCTTTTTCGCAATAGAAAAATTGGAGAAAAAAAAAATGAAAAACAAAAAATAGTTGAGCAACCATTGTGATTTTGGCCAAATGGCGCACAGACAATGGCCTCTCACATGTGGGAAAATTGTAGGGAAATTTCCCAGCTAAGCCGCTGCCGCTGCCATGTGGAAATGGAGCACACAATTTGCGAACTGCGAATTGGCTGACTAATTATTTCGAGTGGCGGCAAACGCTTCCGCGATCATCGCGTCTCCAGTCGGCTGCCACTTACCATGTATGTCATCCACGCAGATGCCCAAATCCTCACGGTAGGCGCGCAAATATGGCAAACAGCGGCAGCTGCAGCCCTCCGTCTCAGCGGACATGCCCAGAGCCTGGCCATTGTCGCGCTGCAGCTTCATGCGACGCGTGAGCAGCTCCAGCCGACCGCTGGCCAGCGTGGCCGAGGGCGAGGCTGAGGCCGAGGCCTGACCCAGTCCATCGCCAGCTAAAATCAAACACAGTGACAGAGATTAAGAGTCGTGTTGATTCCGAGTGCGCGTGGCAAACAAATTTCCATATTAATCGAGTACTTACCGTTGGAGTCGCCGCCCAGACGCACCACAGCCGCCGTGCCGCTGGACAGGCCGATGCAGGTGTCCGCATTGCAAGCGCCGCCGAGACCTGCGTAAACAGAAAGAGAAACTGTAAAATCAACAAAGCTGTGGGAGGGGGAGCGGGAGCGTGAGAGGGAGAAGCTGGGCATCTTGATTTAAGCACGTCACAACAGAACGCGCCAAGTCTGGCTGGGGTTGCGGTTCGACTGGAACGTGAGCGGCGTCTAATAAGCTGGCCATACTGGAAATTAATGCTGCTGTCAACGGGTAAACATGCCACACGGCTTAGGTTGGATTTGGATTTGGGACTTGGTTGTGTGGATACTCACCGCTCGTATAGAAGAGATCGCCATCGTGATGCCTTGTCAGATTGATTAGCTGTCCGTTAGACTGTTGCAGATCCTCTAACAGTAAATTCGCTGGCATTAAATCCTCTAGTTGATTTGTCTTAATGTCGCCGTTTTTGTTACTGTCCGTGGCGGCAAAGGCAGCTGCTCGGGTCGCTGCCAAGTAGGTGGCGCCAATGACCTGGCCGCCAGCTGTTCTTCTTGCGCCTGCAGCTGTGGGCGTGGCTCTGCAGCAGCAGCAGAAGAGGAGCAGCAGCAGCAGCAGGCAGCAGGAATAGCCAAAATTGGTGCGCCACATGGTAGCAAGCGCATCATGGAGCGCCGCTGCATGAACCGGGTCCGATTTGTTGTTGTTGCTGCTGCTCTGGCAAAAATATATGAAAAACAAGCACATTTAAGCCATAAATAAGTTGTACAATTTGCTGCTGCTGGCGTTGGTGAAAACGCGCCACTAATTAAAACACGCGAAAAGGCGAAGAGCAGAAAAACAAATACGTTTAGATTTCCCCGCTGACTGCGCCTGTCCACACATACACATACACACACACACACACAGGCACACACACTCGCACACACAAGCCGCTTTGGAGGTGACATTCTTTAAGCGGCGGTAATGAGGCAAAAATTGTTGGCGTCCATTTTTGTAAATGGAGCAGCATCAAACGCCAAGTGCTTGTTGTTGTTGCTGCCAGTTGCTAGTTGCTGGTTGCAGCTAACGGACAACATTTAAACAAATGTTGCAATTAAAACTCGTTCTGGCAGCAAATGTATACTTATAAACACACTAGCTTCAACGGCAACCCGAGCCAGAATTGTGCAGCGGTGAATGTGTGGAGCAAGTGCGTCGTCGTCGCCTGGGAACAAGCTGCGTATACTATATGCCTGGCTACAAGGCCTGGCCGGGTGTTGTGGCCAAGTTAGTACCGTTAACAAATGCGCTGCAGTTATGTCTGCTTAATCTACATACACACACACACACACATGCAGTCAAATAACTATGTATACCCTGTAGTTGTTGAATTTGAACGCTTATACCGCTAATCAGTTGCACCTTAGCTGCTTGACCATAATTTACATAAATATTTCACACAAACAACAGAAAATATTATTGGGGACTCCTAACTGTTAGTTACACTTAAGCTTTATAATAGTTTGTGCCAGCTGCTATTCAAAAGAAGAACAACAGCAACTACAACAACAACAACAACAACAACGGCTAAGTGGAAACAATCATTATATGTTGGCCAGAATATGAGAAGAAAGCGATAAAAAGCAACAGTTTGCGGCCTAATTTGAAAGTAAAATTTTGTGGCCGAAAAATACTAAAAAAAAAAAAAAGAAGTTCGTTGCCTCAGTCTTTTGATTTTGATTGAGCAGTCAACACAAAAAAAAAAAGTTCGTTGCCTAAGTCTTTTGATTTTAACTGAGCAGTCAACACATTCATTCATTTACTGAACCGAATTGTACAGTTAGCTGGCATTTGGAGATTAACAATATATATATGTTTACATGTTTATAATACATGTCTTTATGAATGCTTCGATTTATGTGTGTGAGTGTGTGTGTTCGTATTAAATGTTATCTCGGCTTTGCGACTCTGCTGTGGCCCAATCTCTTGCATTTTGAAACAATTTAATGACAATAATGACCTGATTTTCAGTTTGTATTTAGTTTTTCCTTTTTTTCCCTCTCTCTGTTTCTTTCTTATTTTTAGCTGGTGCAGCACTTGAATCGAGATGCGGCAATATGTTGAATGATGTGATTTTGATGATGCTGCACGCTGCTGGGAATTGTTGCTGACTGCTGCGGGTCTTGACTTTTTGCATTCGTCTAAACTCAATTAACAGGTAATTGAACTTTGCGCGCCTTACAGACAACATGGACGGTGCTGCATGCACCATGCCAGCAGCAGCGCCAGCTAGCATGCACGTTCATTAATTATTAGGCAACACGATATGGCGATAGCTATGCGCACATTGTTCTAAGTTTGCGCATAAATTTATGCTTCTCTACATATAAATACAGATGCACCTATATCTATATCTATATCTATATCCATGCATATATGTATCTGTTTTGCCGCAGAACGCATTGTAACCTGCGCTAGAAGCACGCAGATGCCGCGCAGATACACTCAGCAAAACGCTTGCGTTGGCTTGAGATCATAATTAAATTAAATAAATATAATAAAACATAACAACCTTAAAACAATTTGATTGTTTTAGTTGAAGTTTATGTAGATAAATTCGAATTGAATTTTTAGTTAATTAGAAAAATTAAATAATAATACTATTGAATACCATTAATTATTTAAATAAATTAATAAAAAATATATGATGGGATCGTATTTTCTATAAAGAACTTTTTAAAATATTTAAAACATATTTTCTTTGAGTGTACAGCTGCTGTTGTTGCAGGTTGTTGTTGTTGTTGCAGATTGTAGTTGTTGTTGTTGTTGTATTGCAATTGCTATGGGCCATTGTCTGGCTGCAGTCGCTACACTTCCGAGTGCAGCGGAGTCGACGTCACACTCGGCGTACTTTTAACACTTAGAACACACGCTAGTTAGAGTCGAGCATTGCCCTCCCCTCTCCCTGGCTAGCCGGAGCGTACCATAATAACAAATTTGAAATTTATTCAACATATTTGCGGCGCCGCCGCCTGTTCCATTGTGTGGCCAGAGGAGCGCATCATTTGCTCGCCGCCTTAATGTGCTTTAATATGTACTTGGACTTAGTATGCTTTTAGCCGCAGCTCCACAGATCGCCGCATAGGGCTGGCCAACGGTTTTCAAATAGTTGTTAAAACTAAATTACGACAGTGCACTCAACTCCAGCTCCACTCGACTGGCCAGCGCGAATTGACCATTGCTGTTGGCTTTTGTTTTGGTTGGGTCTGGGTTTGGCCTGGTCGGGTTTGGCTTTGGCTTTGGCTTGGTTTGGTTTTTTGGTTTTTGGTGCCTTTGCACTTTTTCGGCAAATTACTTTCACCTTAAAAGATCTTGATCTATTCGAAGTGCCTGCCCAGTGACCTAAACTCAATGGTCTGATAAGCTTAATTTCATTCAAATGCACAGCAAGGGCAGCCCACAGTGAAATGGCCATGCCAAAGGGCAAAAAAGTAATAAAAAAAACCTCTTTCCTTTTCTCTAAGTGCACCCATAAGAAATGCATGAAAAAGGGCAAATGTAGGCAAGCATAACTCTGTGAAGATTATATGATATATATGTATATCTACTAAGCTATCGAATCGATCGCACGATATTTGAGTTGTGCCATGGAATGCTTTGATTCTCGAAGATATCTTGATGAAATTCATGGGAAATAAGGCTTTTTAACCTTAAATTATACGTTTCAATTCGAAGCACTATACCATAGGTCTTATATGAATTCTATTGGGTTTCTGGTTGTTAGAGAGTCACAATGAGTAGCATTTGTTTAAATTATATTATATATATGCCCAACATTTAAATGTTGAATTTCACAATCCGATAATAAATATATACGAATGTGAATTCTATTGGGCGCAATATCTTCGTATTATTTCTATTTTATTTGTAAAATGCACTGATTCGTTTGGTAAGCAAAGGATCTCACACTAATGCTAAAGTTTGAACCCGGAAACCTTTGATATTTAGTTGTAATTTCACAGAGATATGCTTGACATAGTTCGAGACCAGTTTACTATAACATATCGCTGCAGCAGGGTATATAATTTTACACAATCGACTAACTGAAATTTGTCTCAGGAAATGCAAATTTTGTACTCACAGCTTGTTAACTTTCCGGCCAATGAATAAATTAACACCTTTAACAATTGCTGCTTAACGGTAGAACTTGGCTCAAGTGTTGGATTTTCGCAGCACTTTTGGAATTCTTTTGGACTTATTTCGACTTTTGTTTTGGCTTCGGGGTCTCAGCTGAACACACGAATTTCCACGCACACTTTTTCAGCAGCTGTTGTTTTACGTTTTCTCGACTGCACTTCACACATTTTACACATATTTGATTTGATTTACTTTTTTGTTGTTTGCTTGTTTTTCTCTTTTTTTTTCCATTTAGATTTTTGAAACACTTCGTGCCAGACACAAACACGCCAAAAACAATAACATTTTTACAAGAAACTAATGAAGAAAGCTTTTTTGTGGCAGCTCTTCTGCTTCGTCTGCGACGTTGTCTTCTTCTTGTCTTGGCCAACTTGCAGCCGCTGGCACGTCTATCAAGGTCGCCGTCAACGAAGCGACTGCGGCCTCGACTGAGACTGGAGGAAGTCGGCGAAAACTTTGCGCGCTGCTCTTAAACGAGTTTTTCTTTCTCTATTTGATTTTCTTGCGTTTTCTTTTTTTCGGCTCTGGCTTTACGCTCTTATATCTCGAAAGTATAAGTTTGTTTTGACAAATTGTATAAGAAATGTTTTGATGTGTGAATGTGAGCTCTTTAAGCCAGCTAATTAACGTGCTGCCGACCGGGCCGGGCCAGGCCAGGCCTTAAATCAAGTATACGCAGCGTGTGCATGTTGATGATGATGATGCTGCTGATGATGATGATGCTGCTGCTGCTGGTGATGATGTTGATGATGATGCTGTTGTTATGTACCGTTCGTTTGGGCCGTCTTGACATCGCGTGCCTGGACAACCGGCCTGTTGCACGTGCCACAAGTTGCAAATGTTGTTTTGTTGCGGAATCTACAAAGACTTTGCCGCGCTCCAAATTGATAAGCGACAGCTCTTGGCATCATTTGTCATTGGTTCAACATAATTAACAACAATTTACTCATTTTAGTCACACTTCGAAATTAACTAGAACAAGTGAAAACTTTTACCCAAAGACAAAGCCAAAGACAACATTGCGTTGCGTGCAACGCACACGCTCAACCTGGCCAATTGAATATGGCCACAAATATATATGAGTACTCACTCACAACTACACTCTGCACAATCGCATCAATCATATAAACTGTAAACTGTTGCTCAAATTACACGGACAATCTGTTTGACATAAGCGAGTTATGGCATATAAGGCGATGGCAGCGACGAGCCAAAAACAATTACACAAACTGGTTTCAATTAAAAACAGTTAA